GATCGTTTGCTCAGTTCAATTGCTGGTGCTTTGCCTTAGCCTGCATTTCCAGGCTGTTGTTAGGTTTGTCAAGTTGTCGCTTGCTTTGGGTTGCGTGGGTGCATTTGGACCGAGGGTTGGCACGGATTCAATCCCCGCACTGGTGCCATGCCCCGTTGAGACGGTGCAGGTGCTGTTGGTATCGGGTGGTTTCCTCTAGCTTTTGGTTGGAAACCCTCAATGGGGCTTCCCCTCAATACTGAAGTCTCCACGTGAGCTTTTTCCATGTTGACGAAATACGAAACACAACCTGCAAATCTGATTTGTGTCCGGTGTTGAGCCACGAAAAGATAAATTACATCATTGGATCCCAGTCACCCCTGCAGGCAAGCCAGTTTCTAACAAGGGAGCCCCTTGGTTGCCCACGGTTGGGTGAAAGTAGATGGCAATCCCTTTGGCTTTCGTTCATCCCCTTTACCGCAGTTGTGCCATCTACTTTCCACCCTGTACTCATACCTGCTGTTTTGAGGGTGCCCATTTTTTGGGGGTGTTTTTTGGTAACAAAAGGACCTGACGTAATTGAATAGAGCTGTAAATATTATGAATACCTGGAGTCTCCATGACCCTTTAAAAATTGGTCCATGACCCCATTATTTAGGGTAATGACCCCATTTTTTAAGGGTCATGGAGACTCTAGGTAGACTTAAATAGTGAAAAGTCATGAATTTCTCAACTCGAAGAAAAATGCAAACCTCACCCTGCGAGGCCATGCCATCGTGGAGGCCATCGGGGACGACTCCGTGGCAGGCTCCCAGGTCGCCGGCGTGCAGGCGGCGCCCTGAAAGGGAAGTCAGGGCTCCCATTGTTTTTTGTTTTGTTTTTGTTTTCAAATATATATATATATATATATATATGTATATATGTATACATATATATATATATATATATATCTAGTTGAGAGCCCCCCAGCCCCTAGACCCTCTGGGCCTTCTAGGCCTTCTAGGCCTTCTGAGTCGCAATTTCGGCGGGATTTCGGGTGAGGAACCGAAAAGCCCGAACTCAGTTGTAGTCCCTCCACATTTCCTGGAGGGACTAAAGAGACATGTTTCATGCCAACCGTTGTTTTGCGAGCCCCTCAAGTGACCGCTGCGACCCACTGAGCTGTTCTGATGGACAACAGCCACGCCAGTCGCACGGTCTATCAGCCAGTTGTCATTGGTGTCATCCATCCCAACTGGTGCGAAGTGGATTTTGTCCACCAAAGAGCGGCCAAGATGGCCACAACCATTGTGACTTGCGTGCAAGTTGACAGAAGGAACCAGTAGGGGTCACAACAATAAGTTTTCTCTGCAAATGGATGGGTTTGGGAGGGTGCCATCATGTGCCATGTTTGTTTGCAGAGTGTTTCACTTTTTGGGGCCACTCTTTGGAAACCATCCACCAATTCCACCAATCCAAACCACATTAGCTGCAAGCTGAACCCCCATAGTTTGCAAAAGACTCTCAGCCCTCGGCATCGCAGGCGGGGAAGATCGCGGACGCTTTGGGCCTGGCGCTGAAGGACGTTCGGAACTCGGACCAGCTCTTCGGGAACCACACGGCGGGGAAGCCCGAAGTTCCGTCGAGTGGCTTCGAGTATGTTTGCCAAAGGGGAAAAAGCAGGGCTTTCCCTGCGCCAGTGCGCTGCTTCGCAAGATTAAATGAAGATGGCGCAAAGTGGACAGAGCTTGGATCACTTCAACCATTCAGCCGCTGAGCTTGGAGTTGTCCTTTGTTTCTCCCAGCTAATTTGACAGATTCTGAATTACATTCGAACCGACAAATTAAGAAGGAACCACAATCCAAAACAAAGAGAAACCATCAAACTACGAAAGACAGCAAGACGACAAAAAACAAGAAGCAACATCAATGATAGTAGCAGGATAAATAATAGTAATATGAGCCACAACAAAAGTAAGTGAAAATACTGACTTTCCTGATGTTGCGGATGCTAGCGTTCATGATTGATGCGGGACATGAATTAGTCAAACAATCCAAATGAGTTTGAATACACAAAGTTAAGCAATAGTAGCTTAATAATAACGATATTAGTAGTATCAACTGTGTCCTAAATGCAGCACGCACTTTTGAAACGCGTGAAGTTTGTTTGTTCGTTTCCCCGAGCCAGGATGACACAATCAACATCTTCAGCGTGCAACATCCATAGCGAGCCATCCAGTGGCCAGCGAAGCTCGAAAAAGGCCTTGCGCAAGCGGTGTGGATTGGAAGGCACTCATTTGGACTTAGGCCAGCTTTGTTTGGCATTGGGGGAATAAACCTGATCGCCCCTGAACCTTGTATCCTCTTTTTTTTGCCACTAAAATGGTCTACCCAAAAAGTATTAAAGTCCAGGAGCTCGGGAAGTAAGTGGCTCTTGCATGGGACACCCCCGTGATTGGCGGTTTCGGATTCGCTTAAGCCTGGTTTCTCACAATACGAATCGGTCCCTATGGACCAGGCTGGGTCGCGAAGCTCTGAGCCC